TAGAAACCAAGCCCGAATTATATTAATAATCAAGAGATAAAGACGGATATGTTATCGGCCACACATTACTATATAAAACTAAGTTCTCTATACTGAGTGACCACAAAGAAAGTTCTTCTGTGGTCTTTAAGATAACTTTCTGTTTTCTAACTTTAAAACAAAGTTTTAGTAAACTGAAAACAAGCTATTAATTGAGTCTAAAGTAAGGTATTTTTTTAATTAAATATAAAAGAAACAAGAAGACAATTTTCATGGCAATATAAAGTTAATTTTATGATAAAACATGTGTCTTAATCCAAATAATTGGATATTAGAGGACTAAATAAATTCTTTCTCTCCATTAATTAGAGAAATCAATAAACATATTAATAGTCTGGTTATGGAAAAATGAAAGGTATTAAGACCAATTGAATCTCTGTGTTTATGATACATGCCAAATGCAGCAGTGTATGAATGTCAATGATGTTTTCCCAATGAAAATTGTTCGTAATTAATTAATATTTCTCGCTATTCTGGCTATAGAAACAAGAAATATTTTTATATATTATAGATCTGGTTCAAACTGATCTGAAGATCAATTTGAGGATCGCCCATTCCACTATGGATGAGAGATAGTGAACGATGCCTCTATCGTATTATTCTTAATTAATACGCCAACGATATACCTTTAAATGTGTAGGCGCTTTACAAGTCCAATTAATTAATTATCAGGAAAAGTACTGAAAAAATAGCGTGATTTAGATATAATTTATTTTTTAAAATATCTTCATTAGTTAAATTTAGAAACAAGACATTTATTTAATGTATATTTTTCATTTGTATATGCGCATTTCTAATAAATTTAATTTAATTTTGAATTTAAACTAATTTTTTAAAATAATAAACTAAATTTATTTACGGTTGATATACAGTATATTTCAATTCTTTTGAACAATTGTTTATTTAATTATCTACTGAATTATAAACTGTATTATGTCATATCTATTATATAATCATTAAAAAAATTGTATATTTTTTAAAGTTTTTATACATTAATCATTCATAAAATCTTCGAATATCATTGATATTTATACATTTCTTTCACTGCTTTCAATCAATCAAAGAAACGAATATTCTTCTTCTTCAAAAGTTCTTATCTTTTTCTGCATTATCACCACTGATAAATTTCTTTAGAAAGTTTCTATGCTCTATCAGATCGAACATAAAATCTTTTTAAATCTCATAGGACTTTCAGACATTGTTTAGACTGTCTGAGATTTAAATCTTGTTTTTCAGCACAGATTGTGATAATAGAAAATTATCTAAACTAAATGATACAAATGATAATATAACAACAGTGTTTATTATATTTTTAACATAAAAAGCGATTGAATCAAAGTGAATAAACATGAAAAATATAGAATTAAAAGAAATTTAATTTTAAATTCATAATTATACGTGTATATTTAGTCATTGTATATTGAAATTTATTTTTGACATTTAGAAGCTATAAGTAATGTACTGTACGTGTTTCAATTTCTTTTAATTACAAATAATAAATCATGCCATACAAATCCATGCTCAAATTAAATTAATTCTAAATTATTGCCTAAAGAATCAAGTAGCCACCTTGTCTGCAGAATATCTAATCAAATCGCTTTTGTTTTCATATGACAGATAGTATTTTATTTTAAAAGATTATTACTTAATATATTTAAAAGATATTTGTTCATAAGTTTTTATAATTTACAATATACATCGGAAAACAACCGTACAAATACATTTTTCTTTTCTACTATACCCATGTTAGCATAAAATTCATAAAATATTATCATATACTGTAATTACAGTCGACCCCCCCTATAACACTGTTAATTATTCCGTTTTATACGAATTCCATGTTGTACGAGTCACTTAGATTTTACAAATATGTGTGCCGGGCTGTGAACAGCTCATGTATTTGTAAAATCGAAATGACTCGTACAACATGAAATTCATATAAAACGGAATAATCAACAGTGTTATAGGGGGGTCGACTTTTCGATTACTCTTATTAAAGCAAATATTTCATATGCTCAAATAAATTTATTTTATAATTTATTATCAATTCGATTGATATTTTATATAATTTTTTCATGTATAACGAAAAGAAAAGAGACTACATTTTCAAGAAAATAATGGTATTGTGGTCTATTGTATTATCTTCTAAATTCTTTTTGTAGAATTTTCAATTAAACTCTCAAAGATTTCATAAGGTTTATGATATTTAATAATTAATATTATCAGGGGAAAAAATAATTACAGATGTTAAACTGAAAACAACTGCAAACTGACAGAATCGATTTGTTCATTGTCAATATAACTGTCAGATTTTCTATTGTACTCTTGTAAATGTATTACTGTACACTACAACTTTTAAAATAGGAATTTTAAAAAAAAATCTTAATCAGCTTTAGAGAATACGAAAATTACTAAATAAAATAAATGAATATAAGTTATTAGAAATAAAAATTTTTAAATCAATATATTCACTACATTATTCAAAATTATATCAGTGTTATTTCTATACAACAGTAAAATATCTAAAGATGAGAATAGCTTGGAGACAAGAATAATTACAATCTGAACGATCGATCATGCTATTAGAAAAGCATTCACTATGGAAACATCAGTTAGTAAGGGATTTCGACCTTCAGTCGATACGAAAAGATAACCTGAATGGAATTACCAACAAACAGATTAGAATGACACATATGTGTCTGTCGACTTTAAGTGATATTTGATTCCGGCATCGGAATTAATGTCGCTATCTCGATACTTATATTATTAAACGTTATTTGGTATTCCATACTTTTAATGAAAGTTTTCAGCTACTATACAAATAAGTAAGCTGTCAAGTTATACGTATCTCTTTTGAGTGTTATTAAGTTGAAAATTTTAAATTTTAAATGATAAAATTAGTCAAATGAATATTTTATAGATTTATTTATATATATTTATAATCATTATTACAGAAAATTTACAATATTTGAATCAAAAAACTTGAATTTTTTAAAAGATATTTTATGCCTTTATTCAATGGGACTTATTTCATTTGTAGTATAGAAGGAAGAAAACACTTCCATTATTTTTTTTCTTTATGTAATAATTAAGGACAAGAAGTTAACTTTATAAAAAAAAACTTGAATATTGAATATTTAAAATATTAATTTTATTTTAAAAGTGGAGAAGATTATGAATTTTTTTAAAGAAAAATTCAAAATGTTGATTCAATATATTGTCAGAACTTTTATATTTTGTCATGTAAAACGAATCCTACTAAGATTTTTACTATTTGACATTCAGATAACGCTAAAGCCAATGTAAAAGCAATCATCTTGGTTATTGAAGCACGTTTAAATCCTGCTTTATACATTGAATATTGACATCGTACAAAAATCTTAAATCACATAAAGTAATAGCATTTGGTTTTATTTATGTAAATATGATCTAAAATCAACAGCGAAAAAAAAAATGTTTGTTCACATTTATAATGGAAAAATCTCTAAAGAAATTAAAATTAATTTTAAAAATTTAAAGAAGGAAAAGAAGAGATTTATGCAACAGGTATCACTAAAGTCCATTGTAAAGTGAATGCAACACGATGCAGAAAACTCGATAGTTTCCGAAGTAACTAAAATATATCACTCATGTTTGCATTGCTAGATCTTCCTGAAAGTTATTAAGGCTAATTAGATACGAATATTAACAGTATATTCTCGAGTTTATCACAGATATTCGCTTAAAACTATTCAGTGTTTTCGATCGGTAGTCTTAAAACATGAATATCAGTTAAATTTGGCATCGATTGCTAAAAAAAAAGCAATTTTTCGTAAATGTACTGTCTATAATGGGAAATAATTGGATTTGATTACCTGCGAGGTATTAACACATACTGGACTGGCTTTAATTTTGCTCATTACAGTAAGATTAATTCTCAATGGGATCGTTCCACGGGAGTAAGATAGGAGCAATAACATTCTTCCTGAATTATCACGAGGATCATGATCGAAATCGAATCTGAACCCCCAAGGTAAAAAGAAAGACATTTATAGTTTGGCGATTTGGACGAGAAAAAAATAATAAATATTAGTCCTATTACAAAAAGCGTTATTTTGAATTGAAATAATAATAAATAATGTGGATTTAATTTAGTATTATTAATGTTAAAGTCGATCAGATAGATGTAGACAATTACTAAGTTCAATCATATTTGTACTCAATATTTTAAGGATTGTTCGGAGAAGAAACGTATTCCATCCCTTACCATAATACCCTATAGGTATTCTAGCCCATGTATGTTGATGCTTAATAGAAAATAACACAATTTAATTTATATTAATTATCATATAAATAACATTAAATTACTATTGTTTATATTTAGTAACGGTATGATATGTTATGTAATACTAATTACCTCTTCTCACTACTGCAGACTATTTACATTTTGTTCTATTTACTGTAATAATAATTCATTATTTTATCATTAGTACCGAACCAAGAATAAATCCATAGCATTTCTCATTAGTAATGTAATGTTGTTACATAGCAATCCTCTTAAGATTTGATTCATGTTTGCCTCTGCATTATCATTATTTCATCATTGATATTGATCTCAAATTCAAAGATACATGACGAATAAATCAAAATGAAACTTATCCAACAATTTCAGTAAGGAACTAGAGATAAATACTTGGACAAAATAAAAGGTTAATATATACATATGATGCTAATGTAATATTTGTAACATATATCACGTTCGATACATTTACCAATGTAGGTTTTCAGTGTAAGTTCAATGTTTAAATATCCTAAGGGTATATTTTATGCGGAATCTTGAACTTTAACTGGTAAAATATTTAAATATTGTCCAATAAGTTTGACAGATTTGAAATACATACCCTAAGGTAAAACAGTAACGATATTGAAAAGAATCTTGACAAATAGATACAGTCAGAAAAAAATCTAATAAGTGATAACAAATGAAAAGAAATNCGTTGATTTATGAAACTTGTCAAAAAATCGTCACCTCCAGGAAGAAATTAGATGTGAGGTTATCGTTCGTACATCAATATTAATTACATGCAAACGTTTATTATTTATTTCTATAATTTCCTATTTTAGACTGTTCCACATGATATGCTGCAGACACTCATAGATGCGGAAGATGAAACAATTGTAGAAATGAAAAAACTTCCAGACAACTTTGTTATTGCAAATGCAATGATGTTTATGGCTGCTGCGTAATAACATCTATAAATTTGTTTATGTTCTATATAAAACATCAGAATAAATTAGTTTAATGTAAAATTTTTAATTATGATTGCAGATATGACACAACAAGTGCTACAATAGGTTGGTGTATTAAACATCTCGCTAGTAATCCTGAAATACAAGAGAAAGTCCGTGAAGAAATAAGAAGCAACGTTTCTGAAGATGTAAAATTTTATTTCTAATTTCAAATGTGAATGTAAACAAAAACATCTGAAATGTAAATAATTACGCCATGTTAAACATTATTACATTCAAATTTTTTTTATTATAAGATTTCCTTTGGTAAAGATGAGCTTGACGCTTCGAATGCCATCATTATCTTTACCAAAGAAACACACAAAAAAAAAAACTTCTTTGTTTTAATATTATACTTGGCGCAAGTTTTTACGTTTCACGTGGTTTTTTAGGTTTAAATATTTTATCAGATGTTGGGATATTCCCATACCACAAAAGTATCGATATTGCCCCGTATCGGTATTGGATATGAACAGTAGATATCTCGCCAGATGACGTTATTCAGTCCTTAATGTGTCTTTCCCGTTGTTTTTGCTGCCTAGAAGGTACACCTATCTCTGTAAAAAATCGCATAAAAATAAACGCTATATAAAAAATTTGCGTAGAAAGTTATACGTACAGAAAAGAAGTCCCAGTTGTACAGACCTGTTAGTTGACACCGCGAATAATAATACTATATATGAAATACGGCAACGCAACACTTCGGCGATTTGGGGATGTCTTCTGGGTGGAATTTTAAGGGTAACTGGCCTCTGTTTTAGCGTTACAGATGTGGAGTAAACCCGAAAAACTCAACGTCTGTAACGAAGTAAAGAATCGATACTGGTATCGGAATCGCCGTTTACGGGAAAACTCTAATCATATGTGTGGCAAACACTGAAGATATTCTTTTCTAAATTAATATTTTTCTGTCATGAACCGCTGAATATTAATGATGATTAACCCACTTAAAAACATTATGAACATTTTACAAAACTCGAGTTTCTCCACATCTGTTTTTTCAAAAAAACATAGTTGTGTTTAATGGAATTGCGTTTTAAATACATACATATATATATTCAATTATAATACATTACAAATATAGCACTTATGTTAATTTATAGATGGATATCCAATATTCTGACTTGACGAATTTTCAGCTGCTGGATCAGGTTATTTCAGAAACACTACGCTTCTGGCCTTTTTCTTTACTGTAAGTTTCTGTGTAAACTTACCTTAAATGTTAAACGTAATAAATTTATGATAATATATTTTTTTACATAGTGCAGTCAATAGAATATGTTCAGAAGATTACACTTATATAATTAACTTACCTCGTTTAAAAATAAATAAATAAATAAATAGTGTCAACACAACGGTCACTACAGTCCAGTGTCTTTACAAGAAAGAGACGTGAAGCGGTTTCTGAGCCGAAAAATATATCTAACGTCACTAAACGTCACCCCAATCTTTGACCAATCGTGATAGCTTTTTGGTGCGCAATAGCAGAAAATTTTTCTTAGAATGCCGAATTTTCGAAAGACCAAAGTATCAATTTTACGAAAAACTAATCATATAAATGATCCGAAAATAAAAAGAAAAGGAAACAAAAGTGAAAAATAAAGAAAAATACTGTTTAAACCACTCATTTTCTGTCTGAACTCTTTAAAAAAATCGATAAAAAAATTTTTGTTTTTTAATAAAACTTAAATCTAAATAGCAGAAAATTTTTCTTAGAATGCCGAATTTTCGAAAGACCAAAGTATCAATTTTACGAAAAACTAATCATATAAATGATCCGAAAATAAAAAGAAAAGGNGATAATAATAATTAAATTTCCTTCTTCAATTAAATTATAAACACAATTAAATGAATTATTATATAATTAAAACATAATTAACACTTAAGTATGCAATTAACTGTCTTATAACCTATAATAAAATAGAGATGTATGATCTTTATATTTTCCATACAATATGAAAATATTTTAATTTAAATATTAAATAATTTTTTTTAAAAAAATGTATAGCATAAAAAAATACAAGAAATAATTAAATATATAGAATAAGAATCGACTTATACATAGACTTAATGGAGATCTTCAGATATCATTATTATAGTAAATATGTGGATAATCAATCATTATGATGTGAAAATGAGTATATCAGTATTATTTTGCTGGGTATTATTATTTATTTTTTTTCTAGTTATTTTATGCTATAAATAGTTATGCTATCAATACGTAGTTAGATTTATGAAGAAAGTCACAATTCAATATTGATTATCCTTTAAAGTAGAAAATAAAAAAGAAAAATTTACATTTTTAATTAAATATTCATAAAATAAAACAAAAAAATTTTAAATAATTCAAAAGAATTATTCAGTTTTATAATTCTATTTGCAGATAATACTTGATTAAAATTAAATATAAAGGAGAATAATGGATTTGGAATTCATAATAAGAAATTTTACTAATACTATTTAACAACATTTTATAATTTATTACCCACTAATTACTGTAATATTAATATTATAAAATAATTATTTATTTAAACAAGATAAAAATTTTAATTATTCTTTCTTGACTATTTAAATTAGTTTATAAGTGTACAAATTTAAAAATTAAACAATATAATTATGAAATTAAATGACTTTAATTAAACAAATTAAATTATTCATTTTACATAATTAAATATATATATATAATTTAATCATTTTTATTTTTCTCTTTAATCACGATTAAAGTTTCGATTTATAAAAGTGGAGATATATATATTTTTTTTCTTCCTTAATATGAAATGTTTTATTATTAGAGAGAAATGAAATAATTTGAAAGAAAGTTAAATGTCAGACTGTCAACAATTAACATAAAAATTAGCAATTAGAACAATTAAAAAGATAACATAAACAATTTAAGAGGCGAATGTTTACTGTAAATGTAATAAAATTCCAAAGGAATTAATTAATTAATTGTGGGAATTATTATATTTGCAACACTGAAACTTCAAAAGTTGCGTAAAATCAGTTTGAGAAGTTATCTGTAACACAAAATGCACAATTTAATTAAGAAAAGTATTCGTTAATTTATAATTAATATATAAAACAAATACACAGACGAAGAGAAAAGCAGACATTTTATCTTCAAAAAAAAAGAAAAAGGCAATTTCTCTTCTACAAAAATTTTTGATTAAAATTAATATTAATTAAATGTATTACCGAATTAAATGCCAATTTTCATTTCGATACAGTAATTGGGAATGTAATCAACTATCCACATACAATTTAATTGGTAGTTATAGAAAAGATGTTTTAATAATTCCACAAAAAATAATGCAACTAGATATTTTATTTGTGTCTTCCGGAATTTAATTGCATATTATCTCAGATATTATATTACATATATTATATTCTTCATATGACAAGCATTAATAGATAGCAGAAACACAATACAACAAATATTTACTTATATTAGTACAAAAATCATAATGTTAATATCATAGAACACAGTAGCGGTCTATAGTAAACGTGTGACGAGCCAAATTTGACCTTTAATATCTCAATGACCAATGAATCGATTTGGACGAAATTTTTTAAAGTTAATGTACAAAAAATAAGTTATTTGCATTTTTATATATAAGAAAAGCTATTTAAATCTTACCTTTTATAATAACCAGTAGACCCCCGTATAACACTGTAGATAATTCCGTGTTACATGAATTCCATATTGCACGATCACTTAGATTTTACAAATACGTGTGCCGGGCTGTGAACGGCTCAAGTATTTGTAAAATCTAAGTGACTCGTACAACACGGAATTCATATAACACGGAATTATCTACAGTGTTATACGAGGGTCTACTGGTATTTACGTTTCATGCTTTAGTTAGTTAGCAACTGTTTATCTATTTAATAAAGTATGGAAATCTTTCCATACCTTANTTTTTTTTTCTTTCCTCCTTTTTGGAATTATATCGAAGTTGAATCGATTTTGTTAACGAGTTTAACATGAAAATCGATTGTTAGTTTTGGTAAATGGGGCACTTTCTAAACTAAATCGACATTCCGAATGCAATTATTTTTGACATTCCTATAAATCATTTCGAATTCGATAAGGAGTTTCTCCTTAATTCAAAGTTCGTATCTAATTCTCTGGGGATGAAATTATTTATTAAGTATAATACCAAACTTAGTTAAAATAGTATGAATTTAAACAAATAATAATAATAATAAAATTAGAGAAAATAAATATAAATATCTAAAATATTTAATATATACTTAAAGCTATTTTGTGCGAAATTATTAACCCAATAATTATATAAGTTATCAAATCGTTCGAAGATCGATTTGTCCTGAAGACTTATACTAGAAAAAAAAACAATATATAATAGCAATTTTGGTCATTTATTGCTTTTTCCTTAGTATTATAATCCTTTTTAGGGCGTAGAATTTCAAAATAAACACGTAGAACTTACCTTATTTCGGGAGAATGTCACCAACGTCTGCATCCATGAAACATTTTACCTGTCGCATCGCACTCTGGAGATTATCTGACCGGATATGACATCATCGAACTTTCTCTATGTTTTCTCCTCATATCTCCATCCTATATAAAAACAGGTGAAAATAAAATTTATTGTATTCTTTCGTGTTATTTCCATCCTTTTCGAGTTTTGTAATACAAAGAAAACATTTTTTTTTTATCGAAGATAAATAAATAAATTGTTTATTTTCTAGAATATTTAATAATTAAATAACTTAAATTTTAAATATTTATAAAACTATTTAAACAGTTGGATCATATAATTAAATGTATATAGATAATCATTCTAGGCTATAATTAAAATTTTAATCATACTAAATATTATTTAAAATTCATAAATAACAGGCTTAAAATATTCAAAAATAAGTTATTTGCATTTTTATATATAAGAAAAGCTATTTAAATCTTACCTTTTATAATAACCAGTAGACCCCCGTATAACACTGTAGATAATTCCGTGTTACATGAATTCCATATTGCACGATCACTTAGATTTTACAAATACGTGTGCCGGGCTGTGAACGGCTCAAGTATTTGTAAAATCTAAGTGACTCGTACAACACGGAATTCATATAACACGGAATTATCTACAGTGTTATACGAGGGTCTACTGGTATTTACGTTTCATGCTTTAGTTAGTTAGCAACTGTTTATCTATTTAATAAAGTATGGAAATCTTTCTATACCTTATTAACACAGAATCTCTGTAATCTACATAAATTACTGTAGCTTCTACTATTGAAAATAAATGGAAATAAAAATATTTATCGCTTTTTTTTAAATTTAATAATAGTTATGTTAACTCAAAGTTTACATTTACAAGATCTACAATTTTTGGACTACACACTACTTTAATACTTTATATTATAAATGATTATTGACATAATAATATGTATTAACATATATTGGACTACTATCATATTAAATAATTTAATTAAAATAAAAATACTATAATTCACTTAGATGTATTTGAGTTTTATAAGTTATTTATCACGTTAAAAATTCATGAAATTTTAATACTTGTGAGACATTAAAGATAAAATTAAATTTAAAAATAAAATACAATTTTAAAGAAATAATTTATCGTGTGATAATTAGATGCAAATTAATATTTTGATATGCTGAAAGTCATACAAAATTCCGAAAGATCGATAAAGGAAGAAAGAAGGAAGACGTTTGAATATGACAATTATACGATAATAATTAAAAATTAAAAAAATTTAAAACATTAACAATTACTTTATTGTATTTACAGGAAATTTTTTTAATAAATATTTAAAGTTATTATTATTTTTTTTTTTAACTAAACTCGAATGTTTCCTTCCTGATTTTCATATTTATGAATGCATTTATATACAGATACATTTTAATTCAAACTCTTCTTAACATTAAACAAAATAAATGAATAAATACTGTTATTAAACTTGTAGAATTATTAAGATATTAACCATTAAATTTTACTAAATAACAAGAGATTTAAAGTATATCTATTGAAAATATTATTAAAACTTTGTTGTAAATTAAATTTAACACAAACAATATTGATCAATTCTTTAAATAAAACGATTAATTTTAAGTATAGAAAGTTTAGAAAGTTAGTAATCTTGTCTTGTAATTACATGCTTGAAATTAGTTAGTAATTATTGCCATGTAAATCGGATGTTACAAATTGTTAAATATATGGATTTGTTAAGAATTAAAGGTAGGAAGAATTTCAAGGCTTTGACAATAATGATTATTGTAAATTTGATCTTACTCNGGCTTTTTTTTATTAAAAAAAGTATTTTACATATTTTATAACTTGAATTAATTTTTAGAGACAATTTTTTTAAAATTCATTTTTAAAATATTATGCACATAAATTACAATTAAAATAATT